CAGCTAATTTTTTGTATTTTTAGTAGAGACGGGGTTTCACCATGTTGACGAGGATGGTCTCGATCTCTTGACCTCGTGATCCACCCGCCTCGGCCTCCCACAGTGCTGGGATTACAGGCGTGAGCCACCGCGCCAGGCCTGGGAGACGTTCTTATCTTTACAGAGAATGGGAAGAGGAGAGAGGTGAAAGCACGGATTTAATTGTAGGGAATCGTCTGACAAATCGAAAAAGAGATTTTTCACCACATTATGTATTCCCAGTTGTGTATATTACACCTTTTGAAGCAGTCATGATTCCCTCTCAGTATGAATTTCTTATATTTGTGGATACTATGAGAAATACAGAAACAAAAAAAAAAATTAATGCAGCATACCTGCTATAGAAAGATTAGAAACTTTTTTTTTTTGTAGAGATGGGGTTTTACCATATTGGTCTGCCTGGTCTTCAACTCCTGACCTCAGGCGATTCACCTGCCTCCGCCTCCCAAAGTGCTGGGATTACAGGAATGAGCCACCACGCCCAGCTGGTTAGACACTTTTACTGACACACCAAGTCACATTCAGTATCTAGACGAGACAGAGCATGAGTGATGTTTTTGGATATGACAACGTCCACAGTGAAAGATCTGAAACTGAAATTCAGACAGGCACTGGGGCACAGGCATGTAATCCTAGCACTTTGGGAGGCCGAGGCTGGTGGATCACCTGAGGTAAGTCAGGAGTTCAAGAGCGGCCTGGACAACGTGGTGAAACCGTGTCTCTACTAAAAATAAAAAAATGAGCCCTGCATGGTTGTCGGCATGTGTAATTCCAGCTACCTGCAAGGCTGGGGCAGGAGTATCGCCTGAACCTTGGCGATGGAGTCTGCAGTGAGCAGAAATCATGCCATTATACTCCAGCCTGGGCAACAAGAGCAAAACTCATTCTCAAAAAATATAGTAAACAAGAAATAACTATGGGTATGGGGTTTAATAGAGGAGTGATCAAATAATCTGTATGACAAACCCCAAATGACATGTCATTGATCATGACCAAACTGTCCTAATTACAGCACTAGCAATAACTGACATGTTTGAACACCTCCCATGTGCTAAACACTGTTCTACGTGCTTCCCATGTCATCAGCAATAAACTAAACACACTGTCCCATGAGAAAAGATCTGTCCTTAAAGAGAACTGCCTCACACACACGCCAGGAAACTTGCAACAAATCAAATAGCTAAAAATGTCAACACAAGCACCTGAATCCAGAAGTCTGGATTCAGCTTTGAATATAACCACCTAAATAACAGACACAGCTTCACATCTACATTGACAGTGGTTTACCTAGTGGAGAGAAGTGAGAGAAGTTCAAGGTTGAGAACATGGAGCATCGTAAAATGTCACTGAATATTCACACAGGCGTACATGCAACCCTTTATCACCCTTTTTATCTTTTTTTACTTTTGAGGCTGATTCTAACTCTTTGGCTGTGGCTGGAGTGTAGTGGTGAAATCTGGGCTTACTGCAACCCCTGACACTCAGGTTCAAGCAATTCTCTTGCCCCAGCCTCCCAAGTAGCTGGGATTCCAGGATTCCAGGTTTCTGCCATAGCGCCCAGAGGATACATACAGACACACACACACACACACACGCACACACACATTTTTTTTGAGACA